CCACATAAGGGTTGAAGCTTTCATAAACAGAAGAACTATTATCATCAGATTCTTGGATCGCTTGAGGAATACTGATTGACCTTATAGCATCCATAGTAGATTTGATTTTTTTGTTGCGATAAGTTTCCCAAGAAGACACAGATCTCTTTCCAGAAGATTTATCATTTCCAGTCGCCTTTTCATCATTTTGAGTGTATGAAATTTGTGAGCTCTCAGCTTTATCTTCTGCAGCTTCATGACTTCGCGCAGAATCATTTTTTGAAACTGTTCCACTTGGATAAATCTCTTGAAGCGCTTTAGCTGAGCTTTCATTGCTTTCATTCTCATCAGGAAATGTATCCAATGGATTGGATGAACTGAACCCATGAAGTCTAGCGCTTTTTCTTGTGACTCTGATACTATCGTCAGGATCAGGTTGATCAGAAAGGAAAGCTGAATCGTTATCAGTAGCTGTAGAAAGAAAATCGTTTTCCTCATCGAAATCTGAGAAATCGGCATCATAAAACTTTGAATCTTTTCGTGAAACTTTCACAGCTAATTGTGTTCGAACATAATGCATTGATTTAGCAATATGATTATGCAGAGCTTTTTCAGCAACAACATCATAAGATAGACGTCCACTCTTTCGAACAGAATGATCTGTGAAAAATAAATTAGAATATTCTTAAGATTCACTTCTTCAAAAGTAATTAGAAACTCACCTAAAAGAGCACGAAGTCGACTAACTCCTAGACCATTTTCGAAAGTTCCTTCACATGGATTAGCAACTGGATTGTGGTGATTCCAAATATTCACTAATGCTTTTTTATCTGAGGTTCCTCTCAGAGTAACATCTATTATCCAGTGTGGTGGAAATGTAAATTTCACAATTGTAGTCAGAATCAGAGTCGGTTCCAACTCTTTAAGCTTTGATGGCAAGGATTTCATTGCATTTTTATATTTCTTTGTTGAAACGGGAAGCAATCCTTCAATGTAAGTTAGTCGACCACTTTCATAGGTTCTGTCAAAAGCTGGTATGAAATAGTTGTCCGGTTTCTCGATGACTCTCATGTTGGGAGGAACCAAAGATTCAGAACAATTTATAACTTCAAGGTAGCTGACAAGAATATCAAATGCTCTAGAGACTGTAACCTGAAAATTTCTGATGTTTGTTAATGATGCTTGATATTTAGAAGCTTCATTTAATTCAGCAGAAATTGATCTTAAATGGTGAAGATTCGGTTTGTATTCCCTTTCAACTTTAATTAGTTGAATTCTAGAATCTGAGGGTCCTGGTTTACTAGCTTGATCGGCTGCTTCATCATCATTCTCAGAATCAATGGTTACAATATCACTTTCATCTCGAATTGGAGTCGATGTTTGATTCTTTTTCGGCTTTTCTCTTCCAGCTTTTTTGATAAATTGTTCGAAATCGATTCTTGAAATACAAGATAATCCTGGAGAATTCGTTCGCTTGAATTTGATTTTTTCTGAGGTCAACCAGATAACGATCTTCTTTTGAGCTTTCAGGCTCTTTGTTTTTTGTAAAAATTGTTTATACAAATTATCAATTTCCTGAGAATCTTCTGTATGAGAAAGAAAAAGATGTTAGAAATTTATCTTTAAGAGAGGAATCAAACTCACCTCCTACGGCAAGAATCATCGCATCAATAGGTTTCAGATTCTCAAACATGATGAGAACTGTATTTTTCGGTGAAAGTTTACATGGTTTGATATCCACTGGAATCAAATCACGATGACTTTTAAAGCAAAAAGGTATCACTTGTTCACCAACAAGTGAATCTTTCACGCGAGCCGCAGCAATTACCACTTTTTCATTCTCTTTCAAAGACAACATTGTAGCAATAAGTGTCGGTTGATTGAAGATTTTCTTTGGGTTTCTGGAGCGTTTTTTTGTAGATTGTAACAAAATTGTTGAATGTTTGATTCTCGACACAATGTCCATAAAAATTCACTGAATTTCAGTAATAAAGGTGTTGTTGTAACTAATACACACATGAAATTAAGATTGATTCATTTAAAACAACAATTTACAAAGAAAATTAAAAAACTGATTAAAATCTTCTTCCTTTTCCGATTGATAACATTATCTGTCAAAGATAAAGAAGTAACTAAGACAACAGAAGAGAATAGAATAAACGTGTTTGTCATGTGACTTTGATATTCTATTGTTGCTATGGAAACAAAAAAGAATAGAATTTAAAATAAATTCTATTCTCTTTAGTAAGCAACAGGTGTTCATTCTCGCTTCTGTTTAAACAGAAAATTATGAATTATGAATGTCATTAATTAATTTAGTTTTCTAAATGAAAATTTGTTTATTAATATTTATAATTGTGATTGATAATTAATTGTTATTGATTATAAAATGATCAAGTCCAGAAGAACGAGGAATCGTCAATTGAGATTCAACTTTAATCAATATCAACAAAACTACATCCAAAATTTGCCAAATCTCAGTAGTGTTGAGATAGATCGTGATCAACCTAATGTGCAAGATGAATCTCCATGTGATTCTGAAAATGATTCTGGTGCTCAGAATCGACGTGATCAGATTCCTACTACGAGAATTTACCAATCACCATCGCTGAGAAGTTATATTGAAGTGTTTTTTTCGTCTATGCTATCTCATGTTGGCTTGAATTTAACCACAGCCGAGCAAATGGTTAACCTCATAAACAATTTTAATCGAAGATATTCAGAAGATCCAGTTCTTTTACCGAATCTGCGTTATTTTTGGGAAAAGCGAACAAAAACTTGTGAGGTTTCTGTCTACATTTTGTGTGAAAAAAATCACGCACACGGACCTTTCAATGGAGAACCAAAGGGCTATCAGCCATTCAACTGTGATGGAAAAGAAATAATTCCTCAATTGAAAGAAAACAAATATTTTCTACATTTGCCTTTACGTCCTCAGTTAGAAACACATCTTCCAACAATGAAAAAATCATTCTGGCAAGAAACAAGAGAAGAAGATGTTTGTAATGATGTATCCAATGAACTTCAAGCTAAAAAGATAAAAACTGGACATTGTGGTAATTCTGTGAAAAGATTCACACTTACACTCCATTCAGATGAAGTGGTAGCAGGAAATTCTTCAAGTATCAAAATATTTCCTATTTTCGCTTCTATTAACGATTTGAAACCTTTATATCGGAAGAAACACTTTTATCTAATTGGATTGTTTGTTGGAAAAACCAAACCAAGTGTCGAAATTTATCTGAATCCTATTTGCAAAGAGCTGAATAGCCTTTCAAATAACTGTGTGACTTGGTTTTCAAAATCTGATAATCTACATTTGAAAGCGACTTTTCATGTTGTTTGTGTTATCGCAGATGCTCCTATGAGAGCATATCTACGAAGTGTTAGGCAATTTAACCACTTGAATGGTTGCGATTGGTGCCTGATTACAGCTTCATCGGCTAATAATGCGAGAGTTTTCCCAAATCTTCAACGTGATGAGATTCAAGATCTTAGACGGAAGAAAGAAGATTTCATTTCTTATCGAGATTTTCTATCACAAGGTGACCAAGAAGAAAGTTTACCTCGATTTAGAGGATTGATTGGCAACTCTCCATTAATGATCCTGAACGATTTCGATATAGTCAATGGAATATCGGTCGAACCAATGCATTGCATTATATTGGGTATTTTTCGAGGATTATTGCTAAGATGTTGGCTTGGAGATGGAGGATCAGATATTTATGAGCAGAATTTCAACAAAACGACTTTCAAAATAGAACTTTCTCAGAGACTAGTCCAAATTTCAGTTCCTTCAGAGGTTAATCGAATTCCAAGAGATCTGGATCAGATAAAATTTTGGAAATCCGCTGAATATGAAAACTTTCTTGTGTATTATTCATACTCTACATTGAGAGGATTACTCAAACCTAGAGTCTTACAAAATCTTTCTTGTCTCATCAGAATTTATAATCAAGCTCATGGTGGAACAATTTCTCATGAAAAGCTCGAAGAATTGAAAAATCTCATTGAAGAATTTCAGCAAGGACTGGTGGAGTTTTATGGACCAAAAGTGTTAACATATAATTTACATATTCTGTCTCACCTTCCAGACTCATTAGAAAATCTTGGTCCATGCGGAAATGTTTCTTCATATCCTTTAGAAAGTTACATGGGAATATTAAAAGAGAAAGTCAGACGTTCATCAAATATAGCACCAAGTTTGGTTCGAACATTCATCAGTGACTTCAAGTATTCGGAGTTATTGGAAAGTCAAGCTGAAAATTGGAACTTGTCAACAAAAGAAAGAAAAGACTTTGGAATGGCTGATATGGATAACAAGGATCACATTCACATCACATTCAAGAGACAAAATATTGATTCCCAAAGAGCTGAAAATATCCTTCAGATGATGAATGAATCTACTGGATTTCATTTTGAATCAGATGCTCAATTTTGTCAAACAATATCTATCAATGGAATCAGGTATTCTTCAAGAGGATATTGTCGAGATAAACAAAGAGATGATTCTACAGTGAAAAGTTCCAGTGGAGATTATGTATCTGTAGAATATATCGTTAAGCACAACGCCAATGAATTTTGTTGTGTGGTCAGAAAATTCAAGTTTCTCCGATAAAACAATCATTCAAAGGAGTATCTGGCTCGTTTTCGTTCATTCTCGACCATATAAAAGAGATTAAGAATAGTTTTCTAAACGATTCAATCAACTCTATCATTTCAACATCGGAGATTATCTCTAAATCTATTTTCATTGAAAGTACAAATTTCCATTATAAATATCACCGAAATTTTCTTGTTGATCAATTTCTCATGAACAAGTAAAGAAAATCACTTTGAAAGCTTTTGTAAGTATGAATAAGCCAAAAATTCTAAATCGAATATTAATTGTTCTCTTTCCTTTTCTATTCAGACCAAGCTCCAGAAAGTGATCTTTTTTCTACTTTTTCGTGAAAATTTCTCCGATTTTTATCAACAATTATTTTATTTCTGATTTTTAAACAAGTGAACAACTACAATAATCAAGTTCTATGACAATTTATGATCAAAAAATCAAATTAATATTGAATTTCAATTCGTTCAAGTGCAAACCCGTGAAATTGTCAAAAAGCTATTAATCGGTCCCATTCAAATCTATTCTTCTATCAATTTACTTTCTTTTTAATCCTCATATCTCGAATCAATTCATCGAAATGGAACTAAATTTCAATTCAACAAACCAGGAAAATGGATATAAATCAACAAGTAAGTAGAAAATCAAAATTCGTACGTGATTCATTTCATTTTGACTAATGTCCATTTCTCATCATCTCTTTCAGTACTTTTTAATGTTACATTTGAATCAGAACCAGGCCCATTCAAACTTAAATTCAAGCAATTTGTTACTGACACTAAAAGTCCTGAGAATTTGGTCAACATTGAAAATCATGAATCTGATCAAGAATCAACAAACAAAAATCCTGATGACGAGAATTCTAGTAATGGTGGTGATGGAAGTGAGAGAGATCAAGAATCTGATTTAGAAAGCGTTGAAAAGCTCACTGAAAGAAAAAAGCCATTTGAAGATGATGATTCTAGATCAACTATCACAAATTCACAGGATTTAGAATCTCAAATCATTCTCTCTCAAGACAGTATCATGGATTTTAGCCAAGAAACACCACAAATGGATTGGAATTAGATTCCTGAATCCTGATTCATCTTTCTAACGCACTTTTTATTTAGTCAAAATTATCCAGATCTTTGATTTTTCTACCCACACACCACAATTGCAAATCTTTTTTGAAAATTTACTTTTTTATCCAAGTCATTAGACAATTTCAATATTTCAAACAAATCCGAAATCTTATTCTTTCAGATCTCAAAGAGAAATCAAATTCACAATATCAAATAAATTTTTGTTGACAATTTAAGAATAAGATCAAATTTTCTCAAAGAAAAATAATCAACATATGTTTGAATTTTTCCATTTTCAAGTTGCGCGTTTTTTGAAAATCGGAAAATATCCGCGATATTTGAACTTTATCAAAATCGTGAGTTTAATTGCAATCAAAAATTGAATCTAAAATGAAACCATTTTGATTCAAAAAAAATTTTGAACCAAAATGATTCAAGAAAAAAAATTTCCTGATTCAAAAATGAATCATTACAACTTCATTTTGCTTCATGAAAAAAATTTCTGTTGATTGGGAAACATCAGTTCATTATTGTACTGTGCTATCCATTGCTTGTGTAATTATATTCCTAGACTGGCTCGCTATTGGATCTACATATCCTGCTATGGATTTAGATCTGAGATGAATCTACATATCCGATTTGTGAGCTACCCAATACGTGAACCAACGCACTCAATTCTCTAAGTCTCAAATTATGATTAGATGCTGCATCTGAAGAAACGGAACTGATAGCATTGGTGGAACTTTTTGAATTAATTCCATTATCAATTGATTGGAGGCTATTCACTGCTGAAGAAACACTTGATAAAGAACCATTAGTTGCTCTAGGATTTCGATATCCAGGTTTATTGTCACCAAAACCAGCACCAGAAACAGGAGCCTGGTTCAATAAAGATGACATGAGAATCATGAAGATAGTGGTGAGCGAAAAGAGATTAAAGGCCATAAATTGATTGAAACTCATCGTTTTAATCGTAATTAACACTTTAAATTTAAATTTAACTGTTAGAAACGTTCACTTATTCAGACGAAGATTTAATTTAACTATGATTTTCCCTTCAAATGATTCAACCTTTTATGTGATTTTCTTTCAATGTCAACGTGTTGTTTTACCCTCGATAAAGTTACCTGAATAAACTAAAACATAATTAGATTATCTCTATGATAATTGGGATCATCAAAAAATCACCAAAAGATATCAAGCTGATAATATACTCAGTGATAAACAGTTTCGTCTACTTTTTATCAAGTTTAGGTTGTTTGTAAATTGAATTTACAACCAAATGAAAACGGAAACTGTTCTCTCTGAATGTTTAATTTTAAAAGGAAATACAACCAAAATAATTGTCTGGTAACTTCAATTCCAAGTAAGTGACAAGTAGTACAAGAGATCAAAATTAGAAGAAAACAAAACAATAACAAAATATTAATGAGGAGATAATTTAACGAAAATTGGATTGATTAAAGTGGAAAGTAAAAGAGAAAAGTTATCACAATTAAAAAGTGTTTCTCTATGCGCGATATTTCATTTTTCGTGGCTGTAGATTGGAGGTTAGTCCAAATTTAGACTAATTCTTTCCTATCGGGGTCTATTTAATATTCGTAACGATGAAAATTTCTTAAAAGTCCAATCCCATTGAATTTTTATCATCATCTATCTTAATCACTGAATCATTTTAACCTCAATCCTTTGATGAATTTCTCAGAACTTTTTCATGCGCAAACGAGCCTAGGAAAGGCTTGCAGATCTCGTCTTTGTGTTTCAACATTTGGTGGTGAATAAAAGTTGATCGAATTGTCCATTTTGATTAAATCGTAGCGGAAATTGGTGAAATTTGATGATCGACGATTTACCATAATCAACGGGAACCACGGGAACTCTATTTCTAAAAAACTGCTGATTCAGAGATATTTCCAATGGATGAACTTTAATTGACTCCTTTTCCATTGATGACAATTTATCGACATTTCCAATTTTACTAACACTTACACTTGACTGTAAATTAAAATGAATTAATAGTAATGTTATTAACGAGATAAATGAATTAGTAAATCACTTATAGTGAAAATGGAAAATTAATGAGTTTACCTTCCTGAGCTTACGAACGAGAAGGTATATAAGTCCACCGATAAAAGCTGCCCAACCACCAATAGCGACGAGATAGAAAACCGATAGGATGATCTTTGGAGCTAAAATGAGACCAATCTTGAGTAGATAAAATAAAGATCCATCCAATGTACTTGATATTTCGATCCACCCCAAAGGAACAATTGTATCACGAATATTGTTAAAACCACGAAGAAATGGAACCCGTTCAACTCTAAGGTTAAACTGTAATCGACCTGCACCCGATATTGGTATTCCAATATCAGGCTGAACTAATAAGTAGAATTCATGTTTCTCTGGATCTGGCGATAGACCTTCAACTTGTCCCTGAATTTCTGAATCTGTGTCGAGAAAATGTGGCCTAGTTATTATGATCGGAGGCCCAGAAAATCCACCGGTACAATCGAGGAGACCATAGTGTTCACATCGTGATTTCTTTTCCCTTGTATAGACACAATAACATCCATTGGCTGGATTAACACTCGGAGGGTCAAATACTTCGGGTCCAATAACATATTTAAATCCGGGAATCCCGAAATAATCAGAATCCCCGACATAAGTTAAATCCAATGATCTAAAGGTTTTTGAATATCAATAGTTTAAATTAGCTTATCAATTCGTCGACAATTTAACTTACCTGTAAATGTCAGATATGAACACAGTTAATCTAGTTTTCCTTGCAATTAAGGGTTGAAATTGGATTCCATCAGTCCCTCGAGGGGTATTACATTCAGATCCAGTCCATCGATCCATTGATCTGATCAAAGATTTAACAATTATCATTATTTAATTTTTTCTCATGAAATTTAAATAATTGCATCTTAATTTCCAAGTTAGAAGTTCAAAATCATTAACTATTAATTCGAGCCTATGATTCAAGTTCTTGTCTTAATTTGATATGAAAATTCAATATTCGTTTCAAATTAATGATCAACTTTTTTTCTTATTCAAAAACAATCGATTTCCAATCTAAATTTAATTTTAGTTTATACCTTTGAATGCAAGTGAATTATGAAACAATTGCTAGAATTGTTAATCGATCAGAATTTTAAAGAGTTAAATTACTAATTATCGAAGTAATCAAAAATCAATCGAATTTTAATTGTGGCTCATCTAGATTACCTTTCGTTTCTAAATGCTATTGTACTTGTATACATTTCCTTTGGTAATTCGATACCTGTGTAAATTTCTAGAGGTCCTAATCGGGTGAAATTTCGGCTATTCAAAATTCCAATTGAATTATTGGGTAATTCTGATGTTGGAAATACATCGGAAGCCATAATGCCCAACAGTTCGAGAGGTTTGAGAAGAGTGGTCACTGTGTCCAGAAGATTAACTCGAAGTCCAGTAATAAGACTTCGAGGTGTAGTTTTAAGGAAAAAATTCTGACTGTGGACAAATAGAACCACAGAAACAACTGAATAGACGAAAGGACTGACAGCCAATGGGATGGGAATTAATTGTTCCAATTTATCTCCAACAATTGCCCCAGTTGAAGCTACAAATGGATTAAGAACAGTAATCTCTTGATCCCAAGATCCGTTTGATTGTTCGTACAGAATTTGATAATTACGCCACTCGTAATATTTGATTGTCCTTTCACTGAATTCAATTACCTCTTTCCACCTTTGCTCTCTAATAACAATAAAATAACCATTGACTTACTTTAATTACTTACAGATGAATGAAATCACTGAGAACTTACGATAATACGAAAGGTCCAACCTCGCGAACTTTTAATTTATCTCCTTTCAAGAATTGATCCGGATTTTCAATGTTAAATAAATTGAATTTATTTATAATTTTTACTGGTATTCTTTCCCAGAACTTGTAAGCTAGACACCAAGGATCGATTTTCATTTGTGAACTGATTATCTTTTCTATAGCCCAGGGTTGGAGGGTAGCGAATAGAGTTCCAAGAATCCCAGCAATCACTCCATAACGAATGAACTTGACCCATAAAGGGCGACCCGACTTTTTAGAGTCTACCATATTCTCAATCTCTTTTTTTATATTTTTTAGCATTATTTTTTTCTTCGCATCAAAACTATTTGATTTTCTTTAAATTCATCACAATTAAGATTCAGTTCCAAACTAAACAACCTAATTAAACCACCAATAATAAACAGCACAGAGAAAGAATTATTAATAATAAAAAAATTAAATGAATGTAAATAAATGTTCCAAATTTACATTTCATTAATTGTGAACACGAATAAATATCAATAATCATTAATATTTCTTATGCTCAAGAGACAATAATTCAAATTGAATCAGATTAATTCAATTCATTCACACTTTCCATTACCTCCATCTATCAGATAAATTATCAATCTAAAATTGCTTAATTAGTTTCCATTACAATTAGGATTAACTATAAACAATTAGTTCATTTTCATAGTATTTGAAACAAATTAGATAATCAATAGATACCAAGTGAGTGAACTACTCCGTAATTAACGATTTGACTCCACAGCCACGAAAATTATTAATAATTGTGAAAGATTTTTTTATCAAATATGAATAAGGAGATCATTAACAACTACAGTAAAACCTTTCAAAATGACCCATCATGTTGACAACGATTTGTAGAGCGGGTCATTCGAAAGGGTTGAAATTAATCAATTATTTAGATTAAAAAAATACTAAACACAAATAATTATGAATTAAAATCCTCGTAACAATCTGAACTTGAAGTGAAATTATTAATTTTCATTTTTTTAGACCAAATTGATAAGATTTAATCCTAATTAAAACTTAAAAATCTTCCAAATTTAATGTTACCATAACGATGGGTCATTTTGAAAGGCATTACTGTACCATGTTAACCACTCGATATTCGGAATCATTTTGATCTTAATGCTTTTGTGAATTTCATATTTTTGCTTATATTAATTATTAATTTAAATAATGTATATTGAAAAGAAACGGCATGAAAAGTTGTCGGTGGAATAAAAAATTCATGATCTGAAAACTTATCGTTACAGAGAAAAAGTGACCTGAAGTTTCAACATCGAGCTCGATTTTCTCGAAAACTGCTGATCAGATCCGAAAGAAATAAATATATTTGGACTTCATATTTGTAGCCCTACAAATACACAAAGTTTCAACTTTTAGCTCAAAACTAAAATTTGGTTTACATTCTCCTTAGGAAATGATTTTGAATATTAAAAAATATCCAAGTATCAAGTAAATCATCTGTAATGATTTATATTTATCATGCATTGGACAATAACTCAGATTGATTGTGATTAATATCCATTTCTATTCAATTCATCGAGACCTTCAATAGATTTTTACCTTCATCTAAGACATAAATATCTTCATTATAATAATAGTATGGATTAAGCCGAGTCGATAGTTGATCGTACTTTTTCAATCTTACTCGTGATTACGGACTCTCCGGAGAACTTGAATTTAATTTGTCGAGCGTTGAGACACTTTTTGTCTGTGGAAAGAAATTAACAAGATAATTAGTTGGATTATTTTGATTCTTGAAAGTTAATTGTATTGTTTTTTACTGTTTTTCTCTCTTAGTCTCACCTGAGCAAATAGTGTTTGATGACATCCCCTGATCAGGAGGTGTGATGGTGAAGTAAAAAGTTCACAGGTCAGAATATCTCGATCTTTACATGGATCACTGACATCGATTCGAATCTCTTCGTTTAACTAATTTATCTAAAGAAAATTTCTCAATTTTTTCCATCATTTAATCACTTTAACTTTTTTCAATGTGATTCTCTGGAAGTTCAAGATGAAATTGATTAATCACACCTTTAAAAAGTCACAATTAATAACTTAAATCCCAGAACTTGCCACTAAATGGGCAATACAAATACAGAGGAGAGGAAAAGATGATTGAAGAAAAGTTGGTTAACAACTTGATTGCTACAGTTGCAAGTTAAGTTGATAGCTTAATTAATTAAAGTAATTAACGCAATCAAATATTTGCAGGCGAGAATCGACCACAGTATTGGGATTATCAAGTAATGAGACATTTTTCTCTTAAAAAGAATCAAGTAAACGAAGAGCAACTTTTATTCAATTTCTGACAATTTTTCGAGCAAATTTGAATACAACTACATAAGTTGCTTTTTCTAACACATACAAAATCAGTTGTAACTCGTTTTTAATCAATAACAAATAATTTATTCAAACGTAACTGAATTTTTCTGAGTCATTGGAATCATAAAGGGAAAACATTTTATAGTTGATTAAATCAAAAGTAGAAGTTAAAAGTTTATATAAATAATATTTGATATCCTTGAATTGTATTATTGACCTGCAAAAATATTCTAAGATGATCTTTTTAAAGATCGTTCAGTGAATTGGCATATTGTTCCATATTAGATGGGAATCCAAGTATTATGACAGGTGAATAAAATTCACTTGTTGCTTAGCAATTAATTTAAACCATTTGAATAAATAGTTTTCTATGGTTTTGATATAAAAAGGTTGAGTTTTTGTTGAAGTGATATTAATATCATCGTAAACCGATTGATCGAACTATCAACAAGTTTAAATTTTTGTTAGTCTTGTGTTAAATATACAGATTCCATTTATCTCATCATGAACTTAAATGTTTTCCAAATTATCATGATCGCTGTTGCGTTAATCGCCGTTGCTTCAGCATTTGGCCTTTATACAACTCCTGGTACTTCCTCGAGACAAGTTCGTCTTGCTCATTCTAGTCGTGAATTTCCAACTGGCGATGATGGTAAAAGCCCTAAGGGACGTAAGCCTGGTCATAAATTTTCACTCGGCTATAATGACGAGCCTGATGATAAATACCCTAAGGGACGTAAGCCTGGTGATAAAGATCCAACTGGCGATAATGACTCGCCTGATGGTAAAATATTTGAACCAAAGACTCGCGATCACAGTGACGACCAACCATTACTCTAGCATTATTATTCTATGTACCTCAATAAGGAAATTAATACCATAGTAAATTGGTCGGATTACTTATGTCAATCTCCTCATAGTGTCAATAATCTAACGAATGATTAAAATTTATTATGCATCTAATTCGTTTGTTTTCACTTTTGTTCTCAGATACAATTTCTATTCTAAATTCTGCTCTCGGTTTGGATTGAAAACGAAATTTAGCTCGCCATCTACCAAATACAATATATACTATTCTACCAACTTGGAATTACCAAGAGTAATTTTCTCTATTTCTTTTCTTTTAATTAACGTGTATTCAAACTGTTATCGATTAAATTCTATTAAAGTTAAACACGAAATGTTAAATTATCAAAATAACTCCCAATTTGCAAGTTAAATTAAAAATTGTTAGTAAATTCGTTGAATGATAAACTAATCGAAACTTGTGTCGCCTTCTATTGAGTAGAAATAAACTTAATTTTCGGTAACCTGGGCGATTAACTCAGTGCCGCAAGGCCATCAGACCCAGTCTGATGATAAATGTATGAAGCATTAACCTCACTGAGGTGTGAATAAACGGTAAAATTAGTTTTAGAGTATTGAGATACAAGGAGAATGGAAAAGTATTATATTAGCAAGATGATGAAGAACAGTGGCTGGATCATCATTGGTCTCAATTCGGCAATAAGAAAAATAATGGAAAGAGGAGTGCAAACAATATCTTTTGCTGACGATTTAGTAATCTTATCAACTGAAGAGACGAAAGAAAAGGACCTGGAGATTGTACAACTTAAATTGGCACAAATCAATCTAGAAATCAATCAAGAAAAAACCAAGATCATAACACGAACAACAATAGAAAAATTTTTAGGAAAATACACTTCATATTCAATTCATCCCGACAACCTAGAAAAAACTAGTATTGGAACACAACCCAAAGATCAACATCAAACAAAAATAAAACAAAACACAAAGCATCCCAAACAACATATCAAGTTGGACTCCGTTAATAGTATTCAACATCGTAAATCTATTACAAATCTGGTTAACTGCAATGGTGAAAGCCACTAGAAAAATATCAAATTGTAAAGAAAATTGACTGAAACTTAGAGAGTTTCAACACCGCCGAACCTTCGATGAACCTGATGAAAAAAGCATCAAAAAATTCTGAAACCATCAAGTAAATTATCAATCGCTCACTAATGTGAAGTACGGTATCAACAAAAACGAATTTTTTCGTAGATGAGGAATCCACAGTGTACGAATCGGACACCAAAAATCTGTACAGAAATCATATACTAGCAATTTACTGTCTAGTAAACAAACACAGAAATATGATTGTCAATTACTCTCTTCCGGAACTAATTGTAAGACATCCAAGGTCTGAGTCAACTAAAGCAGTCATAAAAATCATGGAAAACCACAACGAGATGTACACATGGACCACAACAGACGATAATGGGAAAGTACCGATAAACCCCAGAACGAAGATCAAAATCAAGAACTGTATCCTTACCGAAAAAGAAATCACGAAAGAAATAGAGAGCAAAATATCGGAAATGAGTCTAATGGGAAGAACACCATCGCAGTTTCAAACCTTTTTCCCCACCAAGATAGAAAAAGTTTACGACACTTATCATGGGATGAACCTGAAGAGACTAATCAAGCTATGTAACAAAGTAGAAGTCTTGACAAACACACTCAACACAAGAAAAAGGAAAATCAGGACCATCACTTATTACTTAAGCGAATGCGAAAAAACGATAGAATTTCATCTAGATGACCTAAACTTAGCCAATAACAATAGAATTAAGTACAAAATCGATAATATAACTATCATTGTAATGATACTCGAACAAAAACTCTGTAACCTGGGCGATTAGCTCAGTGCCGCAAGGCCATCAGACCCAGTCTGATGATAAATGTATGAAGCATTAACCTCACTGAGGTGTGAATGAAGGTAAAATTGATTGATTTATTGGGATTAATATCCATTTCTATTCAATTCATCGAGATCTTCAATAGATTTTTACCTTCATCTAAGACATAAATATCTTCATTATAATAATAGTATGGATTAAGCCGAGTCGATAGTTGATCGTACTTTTTCAATCTTACTCGTGATTACGGACTCTCCTATTATATAGCTCTTGCTCAATTCCAAAGCTTTGAAAGCTCCGGAGAACTTGAATTTAATTTGTCGAGCGTTGAGATAATTAGTTGCAGTGTCACGGAAACCTCTATCATCGATACTTATCGTTGCTCGGTCACAATATTCAGTACCAGAAACATGAGAGAACTTGAATAACTCAAGTTGAATTCAATTTGTCGAGCATTGAGACACTTTTTGTCTGTGAAAAGAAATTAACAAGATAATTAATTGGATTATTTTGATTCTCGAAAGTTAATTGTATTGTTTTTTACTATTTTTCTCTCTTATTCTCACCTGAGCAAATAGTGTTTGATGACATTCCCTGATCAGGAGGTGTGATAGTGAAGTAAAAAGGTTCACAGGTCAGAACATCTCGATCTTTACATGGATCACTGACATCGATTCTAATTTCTTCGTTCTTTTTGGCCTCCCAACATCGACCTTTTTCTTCTGGCTTAGGATATCGACCGAAGCAAACCTTAACAATTATGATTATTTAATTTTTTCTCATGAAAGTTGAAACAATTGCATTTTAATTTCCAAGTGAGAACTTCAAGATCATTAACTATTAATTCGAGCCCATGATTCAAGTTCTTATCTTAATTTGATATGAAAATTCAATATTCATTTTAAATTAATGATCAACTTTTTTTCTTATTCAAAAACAATCGATTTCCAATCTAAATTTAATTTTAGTTTATACCTTTGAATGCAAGTGAATTATGAAACAATTGCTAGAATTGTTAATCGATCAGAATTTTAAAGAGTTAAATTACTAATTATCGAAGTAATCAAAAATCAATCGAATTTTAATTGTGACTCATCTAGATTACCTTTTTCATTCCCAATTTTGAATCGAAATTAATTAATTAATCACAATTAAAAATCAATAAAAATCATTTTGGTTTCTTCATTTGAAAGTTTGGTTTCTTCAAATGAAAAAAAGGTTTTCTCATTTGAAAGTTTGGTTTCTTCAATCGGGAAACACTGTATGTTCGAGAGACAATAATTCAAATTGAATCAGATTAATTCAATTCATTCACACTTTCCATTACCTCCATCTATCAGAAAGATTATCAATCTAAAATTGCTTAATTAGTTTCCATTACAAGTGTGATTAAATATAACTCAAACAATTAGTTCATCTTCATGGTGAAATGTGAAACAAGTTCAATAATCGAAAGACATCAAGTGAATAAACCACTCTGTAATAAACGGTAACAATAATTCAGATCGATTGGGATTATATTTCCACTTCTATTCATTGAAACTTTTCATGCATTTTTACCTCCATCTAAGAGATAGATTATCAAAATTTGATAATCAAATTAAATTTGACAGAATTTGATAATTACGCCACTATGAGATAGATGATCAATCTGAAATTTCATCATTAGTTTCGATTAAAATGGATACAAATGAAAATGGTACGAGATGTGTTCAGAGATATGATACTGGCCTTGGTTATGGTACGTGGGCTGGATCAAACGCTAGTTGGCGATCTCGTCCTTGTTCGATAGATAATTTAATGTTCGAATACTAGTTCTGGTTCAGGATGGAATACTGGATTGTGACCTCATTTTACGAAATTTATCTAGACTATCTCACCAGTGACACATAATAAATGAGAATTTTTTAATTTAAACATTAATGAATCGAAACTTTTTAAGTTCACTTTTCTTTATTAATAATACATGTATTTCATAATGTATGTAAGGTCATGAAAAGAAATTTTATCATCAAGAAGCAGATTTAGATTTTTATTATTAATATTATTAATAATATTAATTAATTAGATTCATAAATAATTAGTAATTTAACTAAATCGAATGATTAACTGAATTAAATTTACCAGGTGATTGAAACTCAGTTTTCGAACAAAATGAATTGATTTACTATCTCATTTTAGATCCAAATTGCTGAAAGTTCTCATAGCTAAGGATGTTTGGTTGGTGGAGGTTGTTGTAACTCCCCTTTGAGACTGACCTCTAGCAGCAGCAGCAGCAGCACCCTGACTATACCTCCCTTGATCAGCACCAGAACCAGCAGCCTGACCGTAACCACCAGCACCAGAGCCCTGACCATAACCACCAGCACCAGAGCCCTGACCATAACCACCAGCACCAGAGCCCTGACCATAACCACCAGCACCAGAACCAGCACCCTGACCATAACCACCAGAACCAGCACCCTGACCGTAACCATCAGCACCAGAACCAGCACCAGCGCTAGTTACATTATCAGATACAGAACCATGATATTGGTAGGATAAAGATGACATAAGCCCCAGGAAAATGGTGATGAACAAAAAAAAATTAAAAGCCAAAAGTGAATTGAAACTCATTTTTCTCTCGTGATTAACAATTTAAATTTTAATTATTGGAATTTTTCACTAATTCTGATAGAAATACAACTTAATTATTGTCTCTTTCGAATGATTTCATCTTTTATGCAATTTTTCACATGTTAACGTGTTGTTCTGGTATCCATAAAGTTACCTGAATAAACTCAAATGAATGTTTACTAAAGTAATTCTAATTTTCTGATAATTTAAATTCTGCAAATCAAATCAAATATTGGTGAAGAGGCACTCATTTCTTTACTCTTTTCTCATAATTTGCTTTCAAACGGAAACACAACTACAGTTGGATAAATAACTAATATTTTAGAATTGAATGCAAGATGATGCTAAACAATTGATTAATTAAAAATGTAGTATACTAAAATTCAATGATGAAAAATGACATGAATATGGAGATTTTCAGAGAAATTCACTAATCAAATGAATAATTACTTGAAACAAACGGTTAAAAGTTAACGAAGTACGGGAGTGAATCAAAAGTTTCTCCCTGATAGTTTATTAATATTAATTTTCTGGGTAAGATGAGCGTTAATGGTTGGAGCCTTTGGTTATTCAACACACTTATCATTGGTGTCCATAAGTTCAAAATGTTAAAATTAAGCTGAATTTTGGGTTAATTGTGCACCCGTTTGATTGTCCCAGGCTCTCCGAGACTTCCTCTGTCGATTTTGACCCTTTTAATGAAGACGTAACTTAATCTAATTTAAACAAACAGAGGGATAAGTGTGTTGGATAGCTATTAGCTCCACCTCCAACCATTAACGCTCATCTTAACATTTTCTGTAATTTGAGTTTACAGTTTTAAAATGAGTAACTGAAGATGAGTAGACTAGTAAAAGCCTCATGAAAATGAGACCAACCTTGAGTAGATAAAATAAAAATCCATCCAATGTACTTGATATTTCGATCCACCCCAAAGGAACAATTGTGTCACGGATATTGTTAAAACCACGAAGAAATGGAACCCGTTCAACTCTAAGGTTGAACTGTAATCGACCTGCACCCGATATTGGTATTCCAATATCAGGCTGAACTAATAAGTAGAATTCATGTTTCTCTGGATCTGGCGATAAACCGTCAACCTGTCCCTGAATTTCTGAATCTGTGTCGAGAAAATGTGGCCTAGTTATTATGATCGGAGGCCCAGAAAATCCACCGGTACAATCGAGGAGACCATAGTGTTCACATCGTGATTTCTTTTCCCTTGTATGGACACAATAACATCCATTGGCTGGATTAACACTCGGAGGGTCAAATACCTCAAATCCAAGAACATATTTAAATCCGGGAATCCCGAAATGATCAGAATCCCCGACATAAGTTAAATCCAATGATCTAAAATCCAATTGCATCTTAATTTCCAAGTTAGAAGTTCAAGATCATTCACTATTAATTCGAGCCCATGGTTCAAGTTCTTATCTCAATTTGATATGAAAATTCAATATTCGTTTCAAATTAATGATCAATTCGGCTATTCAGAATTCCAATTGAATTATTGGGTAATTCTGATGTTGGAAATACATCGGAAGCCATAATGCCCAACAGTTCGAGAGGTTTGAGAAGAGTGGTCACTGTGTCTAGAAGATTAACTCGAAGTCCAGTAATAAGACTTCGAGGTGTAGTTTTAAGGAAAAAGTTCTGACTGTGGACAAATAGAACCACAGAAACAACTGAATAGACGAAAGGACTGACAGCCAATGGGATGGGAATTGATTGTTCCAATTTACTAGTAAAGTATCTACAACAATTGCCCCAGTTGAAGCTACAAATGGATTGAAAACAGTAATCCCAAGATCCGTTTGATTCATGAAATCATTTTGATCTTAATGCTTTTGTTAATTTCATATTTTTAATTATATTAATTATCTATTTCAATAATAATATATTGAGGTGAAACGGCATGAAAAGTTGTCGGTGGAACAAAAAATTAATGATCTGAAAACTTATCGTTACGGAGAAAAAGTGACCTGAAGTTTCAACTTCGAACTCGATTTTCTCGAAAACTGCTGATCAGATCAGAAAGAAATAAATATATTTGGACTTCATATTTGTGGCCCTACAAATTCACAAAGTTTCAACTTTTGACTCAAAACTAAAATTTGGTTTACATTCTCCTTAGGAAATGATTATGAATATGAAAAAATATCCAAGTATCAAGCTAATCATCTGTAATGATTAATATTTCTCATGCATCAGACAATAATTCAGATTGATTGTGATTAATATCCATTTCTATTCAATTCATCGAAACCTTCAATGGATTTTTATCTTCATCTATGACATAGATTATCAGTCTAAAACTGTATCATTTGTTTCGATTACAACTATACACCTAAAAGGTTAATCAGATTACAATTATTAATTTAAATTATAATCAATTACCGATGAAAGTAAACAATCAGCCTGAGACAATTAAACTTTCTAAGCAATATTAACTCATATGAGTTAATAGTATCTCACATGTGAAAATATATTTTCATCACTGATTCTGTGTTAATATGGATCATCTTTTACCTGATTCAATAAAAGGTAAACAAAGTTGTTATCGAATTAATTTTAATGATGAAAGTTAATTTTAAATTTCATTTCTCGACTCAATTTCCTTGGTTAAGTAGCCATGACTACAGAAAACAACAGGATGTTGGCAAAAAATCAGCTGCAAGTCTTTTGTTGTTGTTGTCAACCTTTAAGCCTAAACCAAAGTTTGGTTATCAGATTGTCATCCTTCATGTTAACCAAATCCAAAGTATTATAAATTAGCTCATAATTTAATCGTGATTTAAATCTAATTGTCAATTTATCTCCATTAAACTGATCATGTCATCTTTTCAACATGAACCAGGAACAGCAATCGAATGTCTTTCGGTAAGTTTTTCTTCCTCATCTCATTCAAACCTTTTCCATTTGTTGTTGTCTCTTTTTTGTCATTTGCATGATCCTTTTAAAGTTTAATCATCTCAATTGATTTAAAGTTGTAAACGTTAACTTTTTTACTTTAATTCTCGTATTTGATTGAATATCTTGTTAGATACCAATTAAATTACAAAAGGAAATTGGTTACGATGAATATGGCAGAGAAATAATGAAATGTGGCTTCTCAATTGGAGGAGGAATTGATCAAGATTATCATCAATCGCCTCAGGGATTCACTGACAATGGAATCTATGTGACAAGTGTAAACACTGAAGGTCCAGCATGGAGATCGGGATTAAGAATTGGTGACAAAATATTACAATGTAATGGCTACGATTTCACAATGGTAACTCATAAAAAGGCCATTGAATATATAAAAAAATTCCCAATATTGAATATGCTTGTTGCTCGACGTGGAGTAACTCAGGCTTGTTACAATTAGATTTAAATTGTAATCTAATTGCAATTAACATACAATATCAACAATTGTGATCCGAGAAACTAAAATATCCAACAATCAACAATTCTGTGCTTCCAATATCAACTAATATTATTACACAATTATGATCTCATGGTAAATACAATCAGCGAAAATCTCATAATCAATTAACTGAATCTTGTCTACAATTCTCATCACTCTAAAAAATCAAATGAATCTTTTTTTGGAACAATCAATCTCTCCAATTATACCGAAACTCTTTTACATTGACAGCAATTAATATTCTTATAATCAACTAAAGTGATTTAACAAAGAAGATGATATTATCCTCTTATCCTTAATCCAGTCCTTTCTTCTTGTCATTCAACTGTTTTTTTTAATTAATTCCATTTCCATACCAATGGTGGTAAATTTTGTGTGTCGCAATTAACTCAAAATATTGCGACAATTATATGAATCGAAAATTGGTTTTAATTGGTTTTTTATTTTATTAAACTTTCTATTGAATTTTTTTTCATTCGTTTTCTTCCTTTTGGGCTTAACTAATTTCTTTTGAATTAATTGTTAATCTATTCATTAGTGATTAGTTTGGTTAATCAAATTTGCTTTATTTAATAATATTTAATGATATTCAATACATTCGACCCAAATATGAGAATTTCCATAGAGAAATTCACTAATCAAATAAATGATAATTTAGAAAATAAAGTTGCGTCGACGGAGTGAAAATTGAAAGTTCCTTCCCAATTGTTTATTAATATTAATTTTCTGTGCTTTAAGCTCTCAATATTTTAAATGAGCAAATGGTAATGAATAAATTGATACATACATATGTATCAAACCATAAATATTCATTCTCGGATTAGATTAATGACGTTGGATATTAATTCATCAAATCTAGAGATTTGTGAGCTACTAGATGTGAGAACCATTGATTACTTCAAGCAAATCTTCAACCAGGATTCTATCTAAAATTAGTCACTGAGAACGAAGAAATTGAACTGATAATTTTGGAAAAAAAATAGAAGGATTAACCAAGGTTTCGATGTCGGAAACCTCGAACCAGAGTGAAAGATAAAATAAACCCCATTAGAATGACGAAAAACGAGAAATATCTGAAAGTTTAAGGTGGTTGGATTATTTTTTTCAACACTTAGAATTTTAACTGATTAAAACAGAGTTGAATAAATTGGGAAACACCAGTACATTATTCTCCCACTACGTTAGCTACTGCTTGAGAAACTGCATATGCGCTATCTGATCCCGCATTTACATTAAAGTTTTGTGAGCTAATTAATAGTTGAACCAACGCACTGGATACTTCCAATAAGGTTTGAACCATGACTTCACATCCACTCAAACCAGGATTAGATGCTGCAACCTTACTACTTATTTTACTGATAACGTCGGAAAGACTGTTTGAATCAATTCCACCACTTGATGCGAGGGCTGATGCAGCTGAAGAGACTCTTGAAGTAGCACTGAGTGACGAAAATCTTGATACTGTGTTATTAACAGCAGTGACAGCACCAGAATCAATCCCAGAACCTTGACCATAACCACCACCAGCACCAGCACCAGAACCAGAACCTGCACCATAACCTGCACCATAACCTGCACCATAACCTGCACCATAACCTGCACCATAACCTGCACCATAACCTCCACCATAACCTTGACCATAACCACCACCAGCACCAGCACCAGCACCAGAACCAGAACCTGCACCAGAACCTGCACCATAACCTTGACCAGCACCAGAACCAGCACCAGAACCAGCACCAGAACCAGCACCAGAACCAGAACCAGAACCTGCACCATAACCTGCACCATAACCTGCACCATAACCTTGACCATAACCACCACCAGCACCAGAACCAGAACCAGAACCTGCACCAGAACCAGCACCGGCACCTGAACCAGAAACAGGATCCTGATTCGATGAAGATGACATAAGCCCCAGGAAAATGGTGATGTACCAAAAATAATTAACGACCAAAAGCGGATTGAAACTCATTTTTTTTTCGTAATTAACACTTTAAATTTTAATTTAATGATACATTTATTAGTTAATTTTCAATAGACTGTTAATTGTGATTGTTATTGTAAAAAAAGAGGATAAATCAATTAGCTTTTGTGGAACATTGGATTATATGTAAGAATTGAATTTCTTTTTAATGAAAGTCTTCAAATTGTTCCAATAAAAAGATTAACCATAAATTATGATCATCGTACATTGTAATTTACTTGGCAGTTTAAGAATAGAATTAGAATACGGAGAACAACAATTAGAATTGTCTCTTAATTGGATTTAAAAACGATGTTAATAGAGAACAAATAATCGCCAAGAAAAGTGAAGAGACCAATGTGACAGCCGATGAACAGGCTATTCCACTGTGGGAGAATTTGAATTTAATTTGTCGAGCGTTGAGACACTTTTTGTCTGTGGAAAGAAATTAACAAGATAATTAGTTGGATTATTTTGATTCTTAAAAATTAATTGTATTGTTTTTTATTGTTTTTCTCTCTTAGTCTCACCTGAGCAAATAGTGTTTGATGACATTCCCTGATCAGGAGGTGTGATAGTGAAGTAAAAAGGTTCACAGGTCAGAACATCTCGATCTTTACATGGATCACTGACATCGATTCTAATTTCTTCGTTCTTTTTGGCCTCCCAACATCGACCTGTTTCTTCTGGCTTGGGATATCGCCCGAAGCAAACTTTAAGGTCACCTTCACTGCTGAAAAATTTCATTACAATGTCGTAGCTTTTAAGGAAATACTCAGGGTACATGGCCCAATACTGTAATCGCCCTGGTGTTATAAAAGCCTCGAAACCGCTGGTCGCTTCTGAACTGACACGCCGACAATCAGGGTATTGGAAAGTTGCCGGAACTTGACAAATTTTCTGTGACAATTCTTGAGTCATAACATCAAGTCCATCCTGGTCGCGAATTATGTCCTGTGGGGAACTGATGTATTCAGTTAAATCGTTTTCGTTTGCATTTGTGATCAGGAAAACGGGTACATCTCTATGGTTACTCTTCAAGGTGTATCGAGCCATACGAATGTTTTGGTCGATATTTCGAGAGGTATATGAACCACCCATTATGATGAAAGGTTTGGCTGGAGCTCCCAATTGGAACCATTTATTGGCCTCGAAATCACGCAAAGTATCATTCATCCTGAGGTAAAGATCAGTGGATGGAGCATTGATCACAGAGCCCAAAGTATCTAGAATACAGAAAAAAAAACATCAGTCGATTTTACGAGTTAACAATTGTGTCGCATTGTATGTGTTAATTGTTGATTAGTTCAGTTAATTTACCTTCTCGAATATAAGACATGGCACATCCAGTGCAACCTCTATTGTAACTTGCCCAAGCCAAGTGCTTCAAATTATTACGGAAAGTTTGACCTTCCGCTCCAAGATTATCTTCTCGATTCATTGAGAGTATCGATGCTGAAGAACCGTAAATACCAAGATTAAGTTTATTGATTAGTCGACCAGTTAAATTCTTGTATTTATCAGCATCGGCAGATTGAAGATCAATGACTACAAATAGATCAGTTGGAGTTTCACAATCAGCTTTGTATCCACTCATTCCACCCGATGAACACCATTCGCTATCTTCAGCTGGTATGGATTTAGCTTTAGCATAAGCCGAGTCAATGGCTGGTCGTACTTTCTCAATCTTACTCGTGATTATGGACTCTCCTATGATATAGTTCTTACTCAATTCCAAAGCTTTGAGATAATTAGTTGCAGCGTCACGGAAACCTCTATCATCGATACTTATCGTTGCTCGATCACAATATCCAGTACCAGAAACACGACCTCCGATATTATCATAATAGTAACGAAGAATTTGACTTAATCTCAATCTTGATCCAGTTGCAGTTTTGGTTAAACTTTTGGTAAGTTCGCCAATATAATATCCATCAATACCTCCTCTGATGTTGGCTAAAGTGGCATCAGAAGGTTTCTCCATACTCAAAGTGTATTCAGTTGTACATAAAGTATTTGTACTTTCCCATGAACCAGAAACAGCGATTGTGTTTGCTTCACCGCCTTCAAAAGCAGCCATTGAATGAATATTAGCCAAAGTAACAGCCATGAGAGGATTAAGTATTTCATCAACGTTAGCTTTGAGTTCTCCCTGAGGAATATTCGGATTTATCTTTGTAATTATATCACGAACGGAAACTCCAGGACTATTCAATTGACCAGCAATTACTCCTAATAATAGTCGGTTCAATGCGATCGCTTGGTCATTATTAGATCGATAACTTCCAACCCCGTACTCCCGTGGTTTGACTGTCAAAGCTACAGGGGCATAAGAAGGGCCACCATATCTGTCCATTAATTAATAGAAAGAAGATTAAAAACAATGATGAACTTGGATTTGATCAAATAACAAACCTTGGAGTTCCTGTAGCAGATCTCGAATTGGATGAAACGGGAGCTCGATAAGCACCAGTAGAGTAACGATTAGTTCGTGCATCCGCTTTTTCCGTTTGATTGATGTGATATGATAACATAAAATAGAGGGAACATCTCTCATTTTCGGTCAGAATTGTCTGGTCATCCAAAGAAACTTCCGCTGGCGATTCCAATAAAATATCTTCGATTTTATCGACAAACTCGTAGGTCTCCCCTTGGTCCAAATAACTATAAGCTCTGACCACATTACCATCCGATCGGAATCTAGAAAATAATTAAATTGATCAGTCTAAATTTAAACACAATCAATTGTTTCCCGTATATTCCCAATATATCATTTTGACTTAATTGTTGATTAATTATCAGTAATAATATTAAGATATAATTAGGAAAATATGATAAGATTAAAATAGATTGAAAACTAATATGGATCAATAAAAATCGTCTAAATAATGTTGGTTAATTGTTGGTTACAAGTACCTCTTCATCTTAATCATCACACAGATATTTATGTTATCCTATGGTTGAAATATTAATATTAATAATTAATCCTGTAGATGACTAATTGTTGACAGAATTAAAGACAAAATCATGATGATAATAAATCATTAGACAAAAAGATAAATCCGATTGACCATTCAGACAATTGGATATAACTTAAGATTTAAAATATTGACCTTCAAAGGAAATCTTAATTCATTAACACTCAGCTTGGAGGCTTAACGGTGTATCTTAATTGTTAATCAAGATTAAGAAACATTGATCAAATTAACCAATCAACTTTTCGTCTAATGTAAATCCATAGTTGATATGATATCTGTTTTCATTGCCTTTGGAGATTTAATTTGAACTTTTTTACATTGTAATTGATTGGAAATTATTAAATTGTCTATGTGATAGTTGATTGTTTGAGTCGCAGAGTAATTAAGTGAATATGATTTCCATCTCGTTTTCTCCCTCTAATCAGATTACAATGGTTAAAGTAATAGACGAACATCTAGTGTTTATTGCAGAAATTAAGGAGAAATTGTTTTTCTCATTGATGATTTTGCTTAATAACGACTACAAATTTGATCTTCGATAACGGAGTTATGGTTACAATAAACACTCAAGTAAATTCAGAGGAAATAGAGGAAAGATAATCATCTTTTGTTTACTTAATTATTTCTATTATAACGGTTTCCAATGAAGATTGATTGTTGCCTATGTAACCTGGATTTAGAAAAATGGAGACTAATTGTTGATTACTTTCTCTGCAATCAACAACAATTACTTTGATTTATTGAACATAATTACGATTCAGAAAAAAATAAACAGCTAATCAATATGATAGTAAATATCTCCGACAACATCGATCGGCGGTCAAAAAATAATAAGATTTTGACCTTCCCAATTTTAGGAAAGTTAGAAATTTACAAATATGATTAGTTAATTACTCACTTTCTTAACAAAGTTGCTGCTAAATCCTTTGCTTGGATCGATCGGGTTGTCGTTGAATTTTCAATCTTTTCAATGAGAGCGATCAAATTTTCAACACTCGAAGCCAACGGTGGACTATTTTGTCCATTAATTATCGGCGATATCTGACCTGGTGTCCGTTGGCGATTATAGCAAAGATTGAAAATTTGACTTTTCCTTTCGATACTCATACTAATTGAGTAAACACTTGGAATGATTAACAAAACACTGGCCACCAAAAAGGGAAACCATTTTACCTGATAATCCATCTTACTGGTCAGATTATCAGCACTAAATGAATTGAATTAAAGTTGATTTAATTTACTATTAAGAAAACAATTTAATCCACAAAAGAGAATCCGAAATAAAAACAACAATCAACTAATTGTAAAACAAAAATACTCAATTCTATTGACCACAAATTATCAAAATCGACAGTTATAACTGACACACTGTTGAAAGAAATTAACCTTACGATGAATTTGATAGTCGATAGATGGAAATTAATTAAATAATGATGATGATACCATGGAAGTGTCAATATCGGATATCGGGTGTGGTTGGTGAGTTTCTCTCTCCCTTTTCTTCAGATTTGATTGTTAATTTTTACCTTAATTTGATCACTTTTACAATAGTCTGAGAGTTACAATGTTCTCGACGATGTGAAAATCACCTAAGTGAACCTCTGGTTTCTCTTTATGTTGTTTACTCGTCGAGATTATTAATGTCATGATAAGATAACACACCAAGTAGAATCTGAATCATGTATCCTAATAACAATCATGATAATCTAATTTCCCCTCTCATCTCATTTCTTTAATTTCTCTCTTTCTTTTTGTTCTCACATTTCAATTCATTGATCAGATAAGAACAATTAACAAACTTAATCGCGGTAATAATAAAATAATTGCTTCTATTTGTTAGCCAATTGATAAATACGAATATCATTTTATTATCTGTCGCTTTCGGCTCGAGTTCATTTGTTGCTGCGAATTGTTTTCTCGTTTAAATTGATTGTTCATTCAAGATTCTCAATTCTGATCATCATGGATTCAGATTATCGATTGATTTTCATGAACACCTAGTAAACACTTACGATATTCATTGGTGTTGTATTGGAAATA